GAGAGAGAGAAAGGAGAGAGAGGAGAGAGAGAAAGAAAGAGAGAAAGGAGAGAGAGAAGAGAGAGAGAAAGAGGAGAGAAGAGAGAGAGAGAAAGGAAAGAGAGAGAAGAGAGAGAAAGAAGAGAGAAAAAAAGAGAGAAGAGAGAAAGAAGAGAGAAAAAAGAGAGAGAAAAGGGAGAGAGAAGAGAGAAAAGAGAGAGGAGAGAAGAGAGAGAAAGGAGAGAGAGAAGAGAGAGAGAGAAAAGAGAGAGAGAAGAGAGAGAAGAGAGAGGGAGGGAGGGAGAGAGAGTATGGGAGGGCTGCATCAGCAGCAGTTGCCAAGGTTAGCCTGAGAAGTCAAATCCTATCCTACATTCTTCCCCAAATATTTTTTCCCTCCACTCTTGCCAGCTCTTGCCACTTTCACCCTCTGGGTGGGTGGGGGAGGGGGTTGTGGAGGATGGGGGGGCAGGGGAAGGAGGCCCGCTGCATGTTCTGCACATGGCACCCATCAGATGTTGCTGTTGTTAATCGGTTTAATTGCTTCCCCGCTGTGCCCATCTCAACCGCCTGCCTGCTCACTTTTTCTCACACCTGCCCGAAGGAGGAGCCCGAGCGAATGGCAGGCCTGCAGTTCCTGGGCTCCCTTCTCCTCCTGGCAGGGATGGCAGCCGACATCCACAGGTTTGTCCCTGCAACCTTCATGCAGTCGGAGCTGGGATCTGCCCCAGAATTATTCAGCAGGCTGGCAATCTCAAATTTCCACCGCAAGGAGGAAGGGAGACTCTACCACTGCAGAGACAAGGCAGCCCCGGCCGGGCTCAGCTCAGAGAGGAGGAGGGGGGGGGATCCAGGCTGCCCCTTCCTTTCTCTGGGGTTTAGGAAGAGCGCCAGAAGCCCTTGGAAGACTCCTGGCCCAGAAGGGCTGGCGGGGAGTTTAGGGCAGATAATGGCGCTCCTCCCTTCTCAGAGCTCCCAGCCAGCATGGGCAAAGGACCCCTTTCAAGGAAGGAAGCCGATGGGCACTGCCCAGGTGGGACACAGCCCTGTCCCCTGGCATCTAGTAAAGGAGAAGGTTTCTGGCTCTGGGCTGAAATGAGGGTTCTGTGATGCCCTCTGAGCCGGGCTGTTTTCTTGCAGACATTTCACGACCCAGCTAAGTAACGTCATCAGCGCTGGAAGGGAGGAGGGTTTGCATCTTCTAGCACTGATGATGTTGCCTAGCAACATCTGCAGCAAAACATCTGCAGGACAGCACCAAACCACCCACCCACCTGGCACCCCCTTGATCCTGAAGGTAATTCAGCCTGGCAGCAGGAACCCCCCCCCCGAAAGAGGGCTCTCCCACTAACCTCGCTCCAAGGAAGGCTGGAGGTCTCCGCAGGGGTGCAGCAGCCCCTCAGCGTCAGTGAGGCTGCAGATGCCCTGCTCCCCCCCCCACATCCAACATGGGGGCTGCCTGAAGCCCCCCCATGCCCCCATGCCAGCTCCTCCCAGTGGCCTGGTGCCCCTCCACCCCTTTGGCCCTTCCCCCACCGGCTGTTTGCCAGACGGAGCCCCAGAGGACGGGGCCCAGCGGTGCTTGTCCTTCCGGCCCCTTTTCTCGCTCCCCCCTCCCCAATTCCTGACTCAGCAATGCTCTCCCAGCCTGCAGGACGTCCTCCCTCTCCTGCCTCCGCCCTTCTGACTCGCTGGGTGCCGATGGTGCAGGTGCCGCGTGTGATCAGCAGAATGGCAGGCTGTGCCTCCATCCAGGCTGACCTCCCTCTCCTGCGTCTCACCCACCACCAGAAGGAAGTCCCAGGAAGCATCCCCGGGGCTCCCTGCCCTCTTTCGAGGGGAGTTTGGCCCTGCCCCACTCCAGGCAGCAGCCCAGGAAGGATGAGCCCGCTTCACCTGGCCTCGGGGGAGCCCCTGGGCTGGTGGTCTCTGGGCTGTTAGGTTTCTAGTCCCTTGTGTGGAGGTGTCAAAATGAACAAGAACAGAATAGAACTGGTAGGGACCTCGGAGGTCTTCTAGTCCCCTCCTCAAGCAGGAGACCCCGCACCATTTCAGACAAATGGCTGTCCAGTCTCTTTTTAACAACCTCCCGTGATGGAGCACCCACAGCCTCTGGTGGCAGGCAGTTCCACTGATTGATTGTCCTCACTCTCAGCAAATGTCTCCTTTGTTCTAGGTTGCTTCTCTCTTTGATTAGTTTCCATCCATTGCTTCTTGTCCTGCCCTCAGGTGCCTTGGAGAATAGATTGACTCCCTCTTCTTTGGGGCAGCCCCTCAAATCCTGGAAGACTGCTCTCATGTCCCTCCAATCCTTCTTTTCTCTAGAGTAGCCAAGCCCAAATCCTGCAACCGTTCTTCCTGTGTTTTAGCCTCCAGCCCCCAAATCCTCTCCGTTCCTCTTCTCTGCGCTTTCCCCAGAGTCTCCGCATCTTTTGAGGCCGCCTGGCTCTTCCCGCTCAGACTCCCCACAGGCGTCTCTGTTGCACGCAGGGGCATGTGAGTTTGGGCACGAACCTCCCCAGGGGAGAGAAGTTTGTGGAGGCCTTTTAATCCAGCAGAACCAGCCGCAAGTGTCTCTTCTCCATCAGCCTCCAGTGCAGAGGAGAACGGGCCAACCCCAGGGGCAGAGATGGGCCAAGGTCACCTGTCAAACCGTGAGATGGCTGCCATATAAATGCAATATAAATAAATATCACAAAGAGGAAAACGCTGTCACTCATTTTTTTTCCTGTTTCCACCGGTTGGTACACGATGCCCCTGGCGATAATTGTCTCCCTATGTACAGAACCTGGATTTGTCTGTTTTGTACAAATAGACGCATCTTCACATCAGACTGAAATTGGCCTGTTCTAAATGAGGAGAGAACCAATCATTCTCACTGATCTGAGTGAGCCATTCTCTCTTTTCCTCTTCCCTCCTCCTATTAACTTGCTGAGTTTTATTTCAGTTGTGCTTCTGAGTCTGCACTGTTTTGTTTGTATTTTTAATTGTTTTAATTATTAATTATAGTTTGTAAACTGCGCAGGATTTCACTAGAGTCGGCAATTATATTAAATGTAATAAATAATAAGCTCACATCCTCCAGCGGCACCTCTGCCTATCCATTCAGAAGGAGTTCCATAGGTGGATGATATTGCCGAATCCAGTCCGAACATCTGGCTGGCTGTGGGGTGAACCAAAATAATATACTAATAATGAGCAGGTTAAAATATTGTAGCGTTTCTGAATACAAACTGGGGAGGTCTTAGCTCATAACACTCCAGATTTAACGGGGTTGAAAAGCAGAAAGTGTAGCAATATCAGGGGATTATAGAAGACAAAGGATGGGAGAAGATCACAAAAGGTCCAGATCTGAAAATCAAAGTTGAAAGAAACTGGCATAAAGCAGCTATGATGGTCCCGGTGGTTATCGGCACCCTGGGTACCACAGCGCTTAGAAAATCTGGGCATTGACAACATTTCCATCTGTCAGTTGCAAAAGACCCACTGCCTGGATCTGCACATGGATTACGCCGATACAGGACATCATCCTTGGTTCTTGGGGGGAAATTCAATGCAAATGTCAACCAACAGCGGCCAAAAAAATGGCAGCTCTGACTTAATGTTGTTGTATGCTATTATTGATTATTAAAAATTATCCCGTGCAGAATAATACATATCGGGCAGCATGGTGGCTCAGCGGTTAAGATGCTGGATTTGTCAGCTGGAAAGCCCGCAGCCCAGGTTCGAGTCCTGAGCACCACACAACAGGGTGAGCCCCTGTCCTCACCCAGCTCCTGCAAAACGAGAAGTTTGAAAGCCTGCAAGTGCGAGTGGATGAATAGGTACCCCTTTTGTGGGAAGGTAACAACGCTCTGCAATGTCATGCTGGCCACATGAGCCTGGAAAGACCTTCGGGCATCGCTGACTCAATGTCCTTGAGCCCCCTACAATCAGCAACAATTAGTGTAATAAAATCCGCAGGGATTCCTTTTTTAATTACGGCAATATATATCAGCTCCGCGTCTCTTCTGTTGAAAACCTTGCATGCAACTATTAAAAAATAAAATGCCATGTCGCCTTTCTTATTTTTTCCAAGCAAAGTTTTATTCCGTTTCTACCCGATGAGATTAATCCAGTGTGTTTCTCAGCGGAGTCGTAGCAGGGAGCTGATATTTGTCGTTGTGCATTTCAAAGCTACGTGGAAAAAGGAAGCGGCCACAAGAACATTTGTGCTTTATTGGGGTTTTTCCCCCTTGTCAGTCAGAGCCCTAAGGCTGCAGCTGCCCCACCTTCCTGACTTACCTGGGTTGGGCAGGAGGGGACCTCCAGGCTTCCATCCCAGGGCTGAGCCCCGCCGTGATGGTGACGGCATTGTCCCTTCAGCTGAGTCCGGTTCTTGGCAATTCTCTGGCCCAGGAGGTCTCTCCACGTCTGCTTCCCACCCGGAGTCGTTCTGTGCTCCAGCCTTGAGGGTCTCTGGCCGTCGTGTCCTTTCGTGGCCGGGTTTCCCTTCACCACTAACATCCTTTGCTTTCTTCCGTCAATTCCTCCTCCCGGTATGTGCCAAAGTAAGGGAGACACAGTGTTGTGGTTTTGCCTTCCGCTGGCAGATCCGGAGTTGTGCGCTTAGCCAGGGGGATCAAACTCGATTTCATTGAGGGCCGCATCAGGGTTGTGATTGACCTCGGGGGGGGGGGGAGTAGAGTGGGTGTGGCCAGTTCAATGTCACTATGGTGGCCCAGCGCTCTGCCAGAGAAAACGGGCTCCNTTTCCCTTCTTTCTCCCTTCTCTCTCGTTGACTTTCTCCCCTTTCTCTTCCTTTTCCCCTTTCTCTCTCCTTTTTCTCATTGACTCTTTCCCCTTTCTTCCTCCCCTCTTCCTTTCTCTTTTTCCCTTTCTCCCCTCTTTCTCGTTGACTCCTTTTCCCTTCTCTTTCTTCCCTTCCTCTCTCTCTCTCTCGTTGACTCTTTCTCTCTTTATGCCCCCCCCCCCCAGTGGGGGCAGGGAGAAGGTAGAATTTCTGCACCAACTACAGAAAAAATCCTTTTATTCAGGCAAAACTTGAATCTACAAACATTAGAAAAGAGAAATACGTACAAAAGCTAGTCAAGGTGCTTCGAAATTTGTCTTCCTGATGCGGTGGGGAGGTCCCACTTTGGGGGGGGAGGGGGTGGCACCTTCAAATCAGGATCAGCCACCCTGGAAAACGGGGGGGGGCAGGGGGGTGTTCCCAACTTTGCTGGCCCAGAGTTCAGGAGTGGCAGCTCTCAAGCTTCCCCCGCTGGGGTCCCTGGGTCCTCCTCCGAGCGGCTCAAGAGCTGGCTCAAGCACTGGCGGATTTCCTCTGGACCACGATAGGCCTTCTTGCTGCCCCGGGGCAACTGGCGGCAGGACGAGAGGTTGAGGTAGGTGAGGGCAGGACAGCTGGCAATCAGGCTCCTGGCGTGATGAAGAAGAGGAGGAGGAGGAGGAGGACTTCCCTTAGGCCAGTGTTTCTCAACCTTGGCCACTTGAAGATGTCTGGACTTCAACTCCCAGAATTCCCCAGCCAGCATTCAAGAATGCACCCCTGGCCTAGATTCCTCTTAAAAACATCCCCTGGCATTGGCTCCCCAAGAGGGCCAGGGCCTCCGAGCCTCCGAGAGCGCTTCCCCCACCTCCCCAACCAGCCGGCCTCCCCATAGCCAAGCCCCTGAAGGCACGTGGCAGCGGGGTTCCTGGCCATGCCAATTTCTGGAGGGCACAACTGGCGTGATGCCCCCAACGCCCAAGCGTACGGATCTCCAGACGCCCCTGTGAGTCTCCCTCCTTTCGTGGCACCAGAGGTTGAAGCAGCAAGGAACGAGGGAGGACGGCGGGCACTGCCCAGCTCACCTGACGGTCCTGAGGGCAACCTTGGTCCCCGTGAGGCTGAGGAAGCGCAGCTGCGGTGCCCCCGCCTCTCCCCCTCCCTGGGTGAAGGCAGCCATGGCCTGCTCCAGGTCTTCCTCGCTGAAGCTCTGGCTGGTCAGGTCCAGCTCCCGCAGGCTGTGCCGCCACTTCCAGGTGAGGAGGGGGCTGCCTTCCAGGGGCCGGGAGAGGCTGCTGTCACTGTAGTGCAGGCCCAGGTAAAGCTGCTCCAGATCTGCAGGAAATGCTTCGGAGGTCAGCAGGCCCCAGGACCCCCGCAGCCCCCCCCCAGAAGAGGCCCCAGGGAGAGGGTCTCGAAAAGGCCCATCCCACCCAGGCACCATCCCCTTGGGGGCACAAGGGGCAGATGACCGGCTGCTCCCCCAATCCACACAAGGACCCAGGAACTCCCAACTGCTCCCGATGGGACGATCTGCTAAGGAGCCAGAAGCTGCTATTCAGCCCCCTGCATGGAAGACCCTTTCCAGTCAATCAATTGGAGTAGAGCTGGAAGGGACCTTGGAGGTCTTCTAGTCCAACCCCCTGCCCAAGCAGGAGACCCTCTACCATTTCAGTCAAGTGCCTGTCCAGTCTCCTCCAGTGATGGAGCCCCCACAGTCTCTGGAGAGAAGCCATTGATTAATCATTCAGGAAATTTCTCCTTCATTCCAGGGTGCTCCCCTCCTTGATTAGTTTCCATCCATTGTTTCTTGTCTGGCCTTCAGGTGCTCTGGAGAATAGCTTGACCCCCTCCTCTTTGTGGCAGCCCCTCAGGTAGTGAAATGCTGCCATCAAGTCCCCCCCTCCCCCCCTCCTGTTCTCTAGACCAGCCATGCCCGGTTCCTGCGACCCTTTTTCCTCTGTTTAGCCCCCAGGCCCCTCGTCTTCCTCCCTATCAGATCGGCTCCCCCACTGCAGGGGCTGAGAGTCGCAGGGGGGGGGGAACTCTCCCTCCTGGTCTCAGGGGGCCTCCATAAGCCTCAACCCATCCACCCTCTGAGGAGCCCCAGTTAAAAGCTTCCGCCAGCCAAGCTTTTGGCTCAGTTTTGGGTTCCTCCCCAGTAGCGTTAAAGCCCCCCGCAGCCAGGCAGTGAAGGGGAGGGCCCTTCCCCTTTGGTGGGCGATGCCATTCATGCCACCCGTTTGGTGGGGAGGTAGAGCATCAGGCTAGGACCCAGGAGCCCGAGTCCTACGAGGCTCCATGCCAGCTGGGTGAGCTTCGCTCAGCCCTGCCAGGAGGAGGCCGGGGCACACCGCTCCCACAACACCCAGCTCCCCTCCCTTCTTCTGCAGGGCCCGCTTTCCCACACCCAGGCCCGCCAAGGGGGGTGGGGCGACCTGGCTGCCTGGGCACAGGGGGGAAGTGGCTTTTCTGCACCCACCTGGGCAGGGCAGCTGCTCCAGCCCTTCGGGCGTCACGCGGACGCAGCCACGCAGGTCGAGGACACGGAGGCGGCTGGAAGTGCTCAGAATCCGGCAGAGCATGTGGTTGTCCACGTAGGAGAAGGCCGTGGTGGCCAGGCACAGCTCCTCCAGCTGCGGGAAGCCCAGGGACGGGGGGGAAGAGCTGGGGGGCTGCTTTGGGTAGTAGGTGAGGTTGAGCAGACGCAGCACCTGTGGGGGGCAAGAGGAGTGGGCAGCTATTGACAGGCCCCCGCCCCTGGGGCAGCCCCCCTCCCAGCAGCAGCCAGGAAGCCACATTCTGACTTGGGGAGGGGGCAAGAGCGACCCCCACCCACCTGCAGCTGTGGACAGGCAGCCTGGAGCTGTTCAATGGGCAGCTGGAACTCCTGGGTGCTTTGCTCGATTTCGGCATTCACCTCCAGCAGCCGCAGGTCCGGGCAGCANATCTGGGTCCTCATTTTACCCACCTCGGAAGGATGGAAGGCTGAGTCAACCCTGAGCCGGTGAGATTTGAACCGCTGACCTGCTGATCTAGCAGGAGCCTGCAGTGCTGCATTTAACCACTGCGCCACCTTGGCTCTTAATTGGCAGCAGGCGGTGGCCGTGAGCTGAGGACTCCTTGGCCAGAGACCAGAAGTGCCCATCATGTTCCAAGATGTGTTTCTGGGCATCCTCCAGTGTAAAAGGGAGCGGACTGCACAATCGCACCTTCTTCATCCCAGTCCTCCTGGGGGGGGGGCAATGGCAGCAGCCCCCCCAGGCTGCGTCCAGGTGTGTAAGCCGACCCCCGGGAGCCCCAGCCCAGCCTTTCTTCACCAGAGCCTGTATGCTGCAGGACCTGGAGAGGCTTTGGGGGGGGGGCTTCCCCAGCCCTCCCACTGCCCCCACCACCCTGGAGAAAGCCTCACCTTTGGGCTGCTGCACCTGGAAGGGGAAATATTTGTTTTCCTGGAGCTGCTCGTGGAGGTACTCCCCGGAATTGACAAAGCCACAATACCAGAGGGCCAGGGGGCCCCTCAGGATGGTCTTCAGAAACATCGCCCCAGGGTTCTGGGAAGGGAGAGAGGGAAGGAAGGGAGGGAAGAAAAGGGAAAAAAGAAGGAAAAAGGAAAGGAGGAAGCGAAGGGAGGAAAGAAGGAAAAGAAAAAAGGAAGGGAAGGAAGAAAAGAGGAGGGAGGGAGGAGAAGGGAAGAAAGAAGGAAAAGGAAAGAAAAAAGAAAAGGGGAGGACGGAGGGAGGAAGGGAAGGGGGAAAGAAGGAAAAGAGAAAAGGAAGGGAGGGAGGAAAAAAAAGGATGGAAAAAAAGAGAGGAAGGAAGGAAGATGTGAGCAGAGAGGGGAGGGGCAACACTGCTGGAGCAAGGAAAGGACCGCCCTCTCTCTCTGATCAGCAGGAAAAGGGGTGGGGGATCCTTGGGGAGGAGGCCGTGGGGACCCAGGAAAGCCCACCCAGCAGGGCGACACTGCCCTGAAGCTACCCTGGGGACCCTCCCAAAAAGCAGGGTAAAGTAGTAGGCTGCCTTTTCCCCTGATCTGGGGGACTCGGCAGAGGCTCAGGAGCCTGGGCACAGGGCTCTGCCCCCTCTCTGGTAGCCGCCCACCTGCGAACGGCCCCTGGGCGAGGTGCAGAAAGAGCGTGAGGGCAGGCTTTGCGCCAACAGAGGCTCTACAGCGTCTCTCGCGCTGGCACCAAAGGCTGCCCGTCTCTCTCGGGCTCAGCTGGGTGCAGGCAGCCACTCGCCTGGCAACGGGGAGCAACAGAATGCCATCTTCATGGCAACCGGACCTCGCAGCCTCTGACCTTCAGGAAGGGGGGCCACCAGGGGACAAGAACCACCCCCCCCCAGTTGAACCCTGACCAATCTATGGCAACCATAACAGCTGCACCCTCGCAAGCAGCCCTTGACCCTCCACCATAACTGAGCCCAAAACTTCTGTTGTTAAGCAAGACAGTTGCTAAGTGAGTTTTGCCCCATCTTACCACCTTCCCTGCCCCGTTGTTCAGTGAATCACTGCAGTTGTTAAATTAGTCAAACTGTTGTTAAGTGAATCCAGTTTCATCATTGAGTTTGTTCATCAGAAGGACCCAAAAGGGGATCAGGACACTCACACACACACACGCACACACACACAAACACACACACACACACCAGGACCCTGCAACCGGCATAAGTCCATGCCAGTTGCCAAGCATGTGAATTTTGGATGTGACTACAGGGAGACTGCAATGGTCATTAAGTATGAAAACTGGTCATAAGTCCCTTGTCAGGGTTTCCAATAGCCTCCAAAATTAAATCAGAGTCCAAGGCAGAGGATTCCTCAGAGTTCCAATTGATTAAGAGAGCCATGTTGGCACATCTGGGAAAACCCAAATCTGAAAGCTTCCCGGTTTCCCCCACCCAAGATCTTCCCCCCCCACACCCACCAGTCCATCCCATGGTCCAATCTTTCACTGCCATGCTGGCAGTTCCACCCATCCAGTTCCGGTCAGGTGCAGAGACAAAGGATGACCTTGGTTTTGTAAGAAGAATGTTATTATGGCTGCATAGCATCTAATTCTGTACAATCTCCCCCTCCCATTTTCCCACTATAGAAAATGCCTAGCAGAAGAATAGAAAGTGGGGCAGGCAAAAGACCCAAAAGAAAAGAGGGCTACAGGCCTGGCATCTCTTTTTTCAGTGCTGTTGTAACCTCGGTCACTAAATGAATCGTTTAAGTTGAGGACTATCTGTATTTGACCCAATTGACCTGATATATATTATACCAGTGTTTCTCAACCTTGGCGACTTTAAGTCCTGTGGACTTCAACTCCCAGAATCCCACAGCCAGCACAGCTGGCTGGGGAATTCTGGGAATTGAAGTCCACAGGACTTAAAGTCGCCAAGGTTGAGAAACACTCTATTATACAGTAGGAAAGGGGGGGAAAAGTTAAACAACAACAAAGTTAAAGTCCAAAGTGCTCTTTTAACCATCTGTTCTTGTCGTTTCCTTGCAGAAAGTCTCTGTGGTTTCTTCTTTACCCCAAATCCCCCCCCCCCAACGACCCTCATCCCTGATCCTGGAGGTCAAATACCCTCCTTTGGTTCTTCCCCATGAAATATTCCCTGAGCCTTTTCACTGGCGACTTTCCCAACAATTGCATCTTGTTCCCAAAATTGAAGAGGGAGAGAGGGAGAGAGAGAAACAAACAGTGCAAAGGATGTTTGACTTCTGATAAAAGCCACCTGAAGACCTACGACCCCGGACCCCCCCAGTCAGCATGCTAGCCACACTTTCTGAATCGCAATAGAGCTGGAAGGGACCTTGGAGGTCTTCCAATCCACCCCCAGCTCAAGCAGGAGGCCCTGCGCCATTTCAGACAAGTGTTGAGTCCAGTCCCTTCTTAAAAACCTCCAGTGATGGAGACCCACAACTTCTGTTCCATTCATTGTCCTTCCAGATTGCTTCTCTCCTTGGTGAGTTTCCATCTCTTGTCCTGCCCTG